CTACGCCACTATGCATATTTCACCGATTTTTATGGAATTCCTCCTGGACTACTTCTTTCTTCCTTTTTATTCTTATTCTTATTCTTATTCTTACATTTCACCTATCTTGTCATTCTCTTTCCCTATTTCTTTTTCACTTTCTTGCATGGTCTTACTTTTCTCTTCTCTCGCTGCATGACGTCTTACCATTTTACCTCTTCCTTACTTCATCCCGCGAGACGACGAGATTTCGTACGAGGATTTTCCGATTAACCTCGCGGAAAAGCGTCAATCGATCAAGCGGAACAATGCATGCTCTGACGTCTATGAATTCGAAAAGATGCCGAGGGTTTCCACGCTACACGCGAGGGATCAACGATGGATCGAGAGTAGTATAACGCGTCACGAGAGTTTGCATAGAAAGTGAAATAAAGCGAGGGTTTTCGTAATATCTACGGTCAAATAGCAAGGACACTCTTATTCTTATTCTTATTCTTATTCGACGTTGCTAAAGAGATTATCCTATAGAGTTCATCGAACATACCTTATTCAAAGTTTATTTTTTCATTTAGACTTTATTTATAATTTATGACTCGAGAAATAACATTAATCATTCGAGATAAAATTAATAACAATCATTAACAGCACTGATGTATTTTAAATAAAAGCTTCTTCGAGTTAGCTAATAATATTAACGATGTTTCCAATGGAACATTAGTGTGGTTATTGGAACGTTTTGTTGTAAAAGTAACGCAACGTAATACTATTCAAATCGAATATAGTCAAAAGTATATATATATGTATACGTATTAATATCGAATTGACGTGACAAAGATTGGCGCTAAATTTTCATCGAAAATGGAATATAACGAGATCACACGTACATCTATGCAGTTAGGTGCCCACGTATTTACCTATGTAGGTATTTCTCTTACGAATAAACCCATTCAAATTTAATATCGGTCAATATCTCGTTTCGGTTTAAGCTTCAGCGAAAGCGCAATGATGCGCATTTCCTCTACCCTTCTCTCTCCTGTCGTACGAAAAGACTGATACGCCGATAAATTAATTAAACGAGCGAAACTGCGCGTCACTAATCTGGCTAACCCAATTAGATGACACACACACATACTCACATGTATAATCGGACTCTGGTTAAGGTACATCATTTGTCATATTCATCGACTCGTAATATTTCACAATTAACGGCAATTACTGTTCGAACGCGGCAAGTGACATTTATTGCACGCTTGATAGTATTTCTCGTTCTAAGGCAAGATCTTCTCTACGTTCGAGCTGTCGTCCGTTCATTCAAGTCAATTCTACAACGTTATTCTCGTATCTCGAATCTTCATCTCGAAAACTAATGCTAGAGAATGTGTTGTTTGAATTTTTTTTTTCTTTTTCCTATTACACACTACTTTAACGTCTAACAATCTCGTTCCCATGAATAAATTTTATTGTTAGAAATAATAGGTACGTTTATTTGAAAATTTAAATCATTTTAAAAGAAAGAAGGGAAAAAAAATCTCGATCTCGATAAAATTTCACACTAAAAAGGTCGTACCTCCTACCTTGAGGTCATCGAAACCATCTTATTAAAATATTTTCCTTTCACCTTTCTCCGTTCACCGCAAAATTGACGCTCTCTCGTCTCGCCGAGTGCGCTCGATAAGCTGCTCGGCGCTCTGGAAAGGAAACAAGATGCATATCTTCACCCTTGAAATTATTACAGGAAAGCAAATCTCAAGCTTATTGACCTTGATCTTTCTTTTAAAATCATACAAAAATCTAATGGATGACAGGACATTCGTTTTGAAGCATAACGAAAGGCGTTAGAAATGCGATCGAGAATTGATGGCAACTGATGCGAATCGAACTTTTACGAGAAAAATTGTTACTCGTTATAATAATCCATGTATTTATCGAATCAAATGTTGAAATTGAAGCAACGTCATTGTTTGTAATTTATTTACAAGAAACAAACATTTCGTTCATAAACTAAACTCATCCATTACAACTAATCTGAAAAAAACATTTTATCTAATCGTAAAATCAATTACGACAAGACGATAATTTTGTCCATCGTTTCCTCTATAACTATCTCCTTTCTAATTAATGTTGATGACAAGAGAAAAGTTATCGTTAGTTGTTATAAAAAAATAAAAAAAAAATATGTCATTACAATTATATTTGAGACTGATTGCAAGAAAGAGAGAAGAGAAATGAGAGATTTTTCCTGCACTAACTCTTAATAACGACGATTATTCTCGTGCAAAACAATAGACGAGGAATATCTTAACCGAGCATAACATCAACTAACATTATCTTCTGTTTCCATTTTCGATGTCATTCGCTGAATCATCTTTTCTCGTTAACATGTTCCATGCCACGTGTACCACCAGTGGTACACGTTAAACTTGTTCTTCAGGTCACGTGTACTACCGGTGGTACACTTACCATTAGACATATTTATTTAATGCGCTGAAAATATATGTTTATAACCAATTTAATTCTGTACAAAAATATTCCTATTAAAATATTGATGCATTATACAAAATGCAGTATAAAATAAAGTACATAAGTTTGTTTAGCTGTAATATTTACAATTATTAATAATTACATGTAATTGTTGATTTTGTTCAAGCAAAATTAAATGGCTTGAATGACAAGTCAGGTAAAAAAGGCTTGGCACGGAACGTGTTAATGATCTTGACACGTTTTTCGCGTTTAATGCTTAAAAGAATATTCGTGTTTTCGAATTTTATCAAAAAGATTTTTAAAAATTATATGACGAAAAATGATAGAAAGGAAGGAAGGAAGGAAGGAAGGAAGAAAAAATCTTCAGGAGAATATTATTCTTAGAACGTTTTTCAAGAAACCTAAAGGGGAACGTTGTCGTGGAGGATACTTTGCTGGTAACAACTATTCGCCGTTCGCAAAGAAGACAATCTTGCCTTTGGCGAAAGAGCCGAAATCGAGCCGACCTGCAACGATACGTCCGAGACTATCTCTCTCTCTCTTTCTCTCTTCCTATCTTTCTCTCTCTCCTCTCCTCTTTTCCTTCCATCCGGTTCATACTACGTATATACCGCCCCAGAGGCAACAACGTGCCTCTCGAGATCAGCACCGTACGTATCCCTGTGTATACATATATGTATGTAGATATATATATGTATGTGCACCTATACGAAAGCAATATGGAAATAAAGCACTTCCAAGCTTCTCAAGAAATGCATACGTTCCTCTTGGCGTTTCGAAGCCATCCCAGCAAGAGGTACGCTTTCCTCTCGTCACCAAAAGCCTTTCATTCTCGGTCACCAGCCACATAAGGAAGACGAATACTTGTCGAAGTATTGCTTTTACTCCCCTCTCTCTTTCTATCTATCTATCTCTCTTTCTCTCCTTTTCTCTCTTATTCTCGATTAAAGACTTCGTAAGAGAAGACGAAAGTTCTTCGCTAAAACGAAGTTCGGCTCGTAGCCAACAGCAACACCAGGGTCGGGCCTTTGTCTTTCTTCATGTTCGACCTTAATCGTTGGTCTTCGATGTAATCCCTTTCGCCGTGGGGAAGTCCTTCCTCTTTCAGAGAAAGGGAGACCTCTAACGGTATGCCCAAGTTACGAAAGTCAGTAGAAAAACAACTCATCATAGTTCTTGTTTTATTCGACGATATTTTTATTCTTTTCCTATAAATCGCGTTATATTCGTTTCTCTATTCTTTCTTATACGAGCAGGGGCCCTTTTCAAGAAGAAACTACCTGGCCTTCGTGACTCCTCCTATTTCTTTTTCGTTTTCTTTTTCTTTTTTCTCTGACTCGGCAAGATCGTAACGAGACAACGGGAAACAAAGTGAAGAAGTCAGCTTCCATTCAAGTGGCACACGTAACGCTTTACGTTTTCACCAGTAACAATCACGATTTTTGGTACGATTTTTCTATAGAGAAAACGATTTTATCTTTTCAACGTAATAACGTCACCTCGTATTTTTGTAAAAAAAAAAAATAAAATAAAATAAAATAAAAAAGAAAACATTCTTTCGATATATGTCATTGATCGTATTGGCCAATACGATCCTTTCGTAGCGATAGTATCATTCGATGTGGTTCACTGTGTGTTCAAGAATAAAAATAAATTGTCTAAAAGAAGAGAGAAAAGTTTAACCTTGAAAGAGTTAAACCATAGTCAGCGTTTGCTTACCTGCTGACGTAGCTACACGCATAATCCAAAATGCAAATATTTTATACCCTTTTTTTTCTCGTTTTGTCTTTCAATATTCTTAACATATTTTTTGTCGGAATAAAAATAAAACACACTCCCTAACTCTAACGTGTTTACTTATCGTGGTCAAGGAAATCCAGTAAGAAATAGTTTGTTCTCTTAGCAAAAAAATAAAAAAGAAGACAAAAAATATACGAAGTATTTTTTCAAAATGAAATTCCATAAAAACTTTCGAATTGTTTTTAAAACGTTTCGAACGTGATGAGAAGTTAAAAGGAAGAATACACCTATGTTTATAGAACTTGTAGAAAGCAAGAGAGCAATTATTTTTGAACGGACAGTGCTAATTACTCAAACAGACCGAACGAAGTGATAGTCTCTATCATTTACATAACCATAATCCTACTTAGTGTTCGATGCCTAATTCCCTCATACGTATTCGTTTCACCATCGTACCAGAATTTCTGGTATCTAGGTATAGACATTACGTTCGATTGTTCAACGGAAGTACTTTTCTCTAAATGTGCTCAATTATGGCATTTTCCTCGTATCAGAGAACACGATTTAAAGACCCCAATTATTTTCAGCTTAATAATTTTATATAATCTCTCTTTATATATATATATATTTCAAAATACATATACATGAAACGATTTTTCAAATGATTTTATTAACAACAACAACAACAATAAAAATGTGTGCATATAAATTTATAGGGAAATTTGGACGTGTATAGGATAATCAATAAAACAAAAAGAAGCTGTCTATTTACAAAGTATTCGTGTATTTACACGCGTATTCGTTCGGTGTAGAAAAAAAAATAACACATACACATGTACATCGGATTGAGTGATTTTTAATGATCGCTCGTTGTGAACAAACATCAGGCTCCATTGTACCGGAACTCTCTACTCTCTTTATACAGAAAAAAAAAAAATAATAAATTAATCGTTAAAAAATATGGTGCACGCGAGATAGGAGCAAAATGGACGTGCTTTATGGCTTGGCAGTAGCGTCACTGCATAGGTATTATACTTCGTAACAATGAGCGTCTTTCTTGAAAAGCACACGCTCTACTTATTTTACTCGTCTAAGATATATTACTGAATTATGTATTACTATTCGCTAAGCAACACCGTTCAAATGTATCGAAGGATGTTATAACAAATTATCCGACGATTATGATTATTTATAATGAACGTAATAAAATGTTCCCCATAGAAATTTCCATAGAAATTTGTTAAACGCAAAAATAAGCTTAACATGATATATATAGATAATACCATTTTAAAAAAGTATGAGTTTGCAAAACGAAGAAACATATTAAATGGAAAATACGATTTTCGCGGTCACCGGAGGGGAGGACTGTTAACCGAGATTTTGAACTTTCACCTTGAACGGAGGTGTTTCGAACGCGTACCGGCATGTACTCGGGGAACATTAGAGAACGACTGTAACATACATTTCACGACGGTGAGTCGACAAGGCCCGTAGCCCGATGACCTACATTCATCGATCGAAAGTGCGACGTCGAGTTGTTGATTTTCCTTAAGATCACGAGTTAATTCGTCTTGTTTCTTTCGATTTCTTCTCTATTTTTTATTTTTTTTTTTTAAATGGAATCAAAATTTGTCGACATTTAAAACGAGAAGGTAGAATCGACGAATATCTCCCTTGATGGTTACATCTACTTTCTTTTTTTAACATATAGACTCTCTATTATTATTCGACCTAGAATAGATGAATATATTGAAAAAGAAAACGTTTGCTTAAAAACCACACTTAGTTCATCCTTAAATCTTTACTATTTCGCAATTACGTATTCTCAGGTTTCTCAAAATTTCTCGGCAAACACATAATAGTATTTGAATAATAATAATTATAATAATAATACATTAAACTTTCCAGGAACACATAACATCCTGATAACTCGAGGTGTGATGTTCTTAAGTAAGCAGACTCTTCTCGTCTAATAACTTGTTATCGATACATTAGCCAACGTGTGTGTAATTATTACTTTCTCTCTTTTCAAAGGTAAACTAAAACAACAAAAAAAAACAAAAATAGTCTTGAGCAATCTCTTCGATTCTGTTCTCACTTCTATCGCGTTTTACTCGAATTACATCGAGTGCAGGGGGATGGATATTCCGACGACAGCATTTAATACGAGTCGATCGTTAACTATCGTATTTCTCGTTCCCTGTTTTTCGTTACAAACGAAGCACGTCTTCTTATTCCATTAGGATATCTTTGATCTTTCGATACGATCGAAGACAATACGAACGAAGCACCATAAACCTATAATCCTAGCACAGAGTTTTATATTCGATAGAAATTCATTTAATTTAGTTTAAATCTAAATGGAAAATATTCTTTTATGTCGAGATGTAACAACACCATTTTTTACGTAATTAGCCACGCATTTAAAAATGATTTTCACAGAAACACACTATCATTCACGAAATAATTCAAGAAAATTTCGTTTTGCTGTCACTTTTTTGATTTGTTGTAGACATCGAAGTATCCGCTTGTTTTTCCACCTTGTTAACAGATCTGGTCTCTTTCCTCGTGTTGTCGACGTATTGATTGTTAAAAAACAAAGCAACTGCTTCGTTTTTAGATGAATTTTCTCCATCGTTATTGGACGTTTGACCACTTCTTTTGCTAGCTTCTCGAATGAGTTGATTTATTTCATCATTATCCTTACTTTGAATTGTAATATAATGTCCGTTCTGATGAGAAAGGCTATTAGATTCAGATAAGTGATGATCATTACGTAATTCTTCTAATGGTTGAGCTTGAGGTGGACCTTGAAGTTCTATTCGACTTTGATCCGGTTGCTCGATTGCTGCAATGATGTCTTGAAGAAGGCCATTTGAAAGAACCTGATCGTGCCTTATACTACCATCAGAATTCTCAGTTCCTAATCCACCGTCAGCAGGTTGAATTTGTAGAGTATAGGTGCCTTTAGATCCCTGAATTTGGAAACCACTTGGTCCATCGGCCGTCAAACCTTGTGCCAAAGCTAATGCTTGGCTTCCTTCGTCAGTCTTCAAGTATTGACTAGCATCCACTTCGTTTGAGCTTAAACTTTTAGCCTCGCCATAACCTTGAGCCGTTAAACTAGCTGTTAATGCTTCGGCTGAAGCCCCGTGTTGATGCAACGATAGTCCTGAAGAGAAGGAACTTTGGGATGGACTAGAAGACGAGGAAGTAGATAATGATGATGATGATGATGACGATGACGACGATGATGACGATGATGATGATGAGGAGGAGGAGGAGGAAAGAGATACAATATTTTTGACTCCAGTAGTCGACGAATGAATGTGATTATTACTTTGACCATGGGAATCAATCGCTTGATTCGATGATTCATAAGAGACTCCTATAGGATTTCCATAACTATCTTTCAAGTTAACTTTCTGTTGCTCGTAATTTTCCAGATCTAACGTATTTACAGGTGGTGCTACATACTGATTTAAAGAATCAGTAATTGGAGGTAAAGCTGGTGGCGATTTAAGTAAAGAATAATCTTCCTCTCCCGTTGAACTTGGTAATGCTGGAGGAGCAGAAGGTGGTAACAAATGATCATTGTTACCCTTGTCAAAATCAAAGTTCTCTACGCTGTTGAATTGCCGATAATTACAATCACCAGTTGTAACGGCTAAAGGTGGATTTGCTATGACGGGTGTTCCATAAATGCTGCTCAGGTCATTTCCTATTCCGTCGTAAAGATTGGTTCCAAAGCCGCTTGACGTAAAACCGAATGTTGACGCTGGTCCAAAATTAGGTGCACCATAAGTTGGAACTGGAGCTGGCGTGTTGAAATCGGTGAAAGACAATGGAGTTCCATATTGTGCGTTGGGTGCAGCCATTGGGGAATTCAAACTGTGTGAATTAAACTTGCCAAATGATCCACTGTTAGAGAAGACGTTCGATAAGGAATGATCGGATTGAGATGATTGATGAAATGATAAAGGAGCGTTTAAACTAGGTAGTTGAGGGCCGAACGATAAATGAGGACCGTGTAATTTAAGTGGCTTTGTCAGATCGATGGGAGGTAATGATGGAAGGTAACGATGAAGATTGGATATCAGTCCTATGGGAATTGGTTCTCGAAATTTGATCGGTTCTCGATTTCTTGGTGGTATTAAAGACCCTGGTGGTGATGAGGGAGGACCGTGTAATCTAAAGTGTCCGTGAAATCTGTGATGATGCGATCCATGTTTCGGAAAGGAAGCACCGAAAGGTCCAAACGGTGGGAAAGTTGGTCCAGTACGACCAGATTGAGCTGCTGGATACGGACCGTCTGGTGAATACGAAGAGATTGGTGGTGCTGCGTAAGAATCAGTAGGTGGCGGTAGCAAAGAACCACCAGCGAAGCCATTGGCCTTTCCAAAATTAACTGATGGCAGTTCCGGTAATTGTTGCAAAGTGATATCATTCACATTGTGTACTCCGTGAGATTCTTCGTTTCCGAATGAGTGAGATGATTCATCCAATTCTTGCAATGGTAACACAGAAAGTCCGGAGTTCAAGCCAGTATCAACATTTAAAGATCCCGACGAGTGTTCATACGAAGAAACGCCAGAATTACTTTCGTGAGACAAATTTTGAAGATCCGAAGTCTGAGATTCAGTATTGGGTAATAACTCAAAACCCACAGTTTTCACGATCGAAAGAGAATTTGAATTTCCAATGTTGTATTTTAAATTAGATTGATGGTGATCGCGTTGTTGATGATCAGAATGGAAAGAGGACGATGACGAAGATGATCCGTGATTCGAACTGTGATCACCATCATATATTGGTAATGCCGGTGGAGGCAATCCATTTTTGTCACCAGAAGATTCACGAACAGAAGTTTTCAGATGTTGAGCTTCTGGATTAGTAATGGGTATACCATAAGAATCACTGGGCACGTTCGGATTTGTCGTATCTTCGACTAACTTCAAATTGTGATTATCAGATGATGAATGGTGTTTGAATGTTGATCCTTGTTGTTTTTGATTGGCAACTCCAGCTATTGGTTGCCATCCGTCGTACATTATGTCAGGTGGAGTGGGAGGTGCTGGAACTCCTGCAGGAGGTGGAGGTGGTGGTCCATGAATATTAGCGCTACTCAGGTCGTACTGAATAGGTAATTGAGGAGGTGGAAGGGGAGGAGGTGGACCGTACTCAGGATTCACTGGAAGAGGAAGTGGCTCTGGTCGTGGTCGATAAGACTCGATGGAAACAGGAATGGGTGATCCATGTCCAGGCTTAACGGGTCCCAAATGATTTGGCAAAGACGATGCCTGTGAGAAACCGGCGAGTGGAGGCGTGTTCAACTTCAACGGCGGTCCATACTGTGGTTTTGGTGGTCTAAACGAAGGGAAGGAAAGCAGCGGCGGTCCGAAGTGCTGTTTTAGCGAAGTAAAGTGAAGCTTTGGTGGGTTAAAAGTTTGTTTCGGTGGCCCGTAATGAGGTTTAATGTTTAACGGTGGTCCGTAGACGGGTGCTGGCCCATTGAAACCACCATTCACCGATACAATCGGTGGTCCGTAGTCGTCGGCGGGTGGTCCATAGGAGTTGCTTATCCTTTCGCTTGCTTTAATCTCATTTTTTTTGTCCTCGGCATTTTCATTAGACGATGCTTGAGGCAACGCCTTGTTTACCACAGCTCCTACGTGCTGACTGATCAGCAGCGCGCAAACCAACACGATTGTCATCTATAATCAAAATAGGTCACCTAGAATTGGACGAAGGAATAATAGAATAATTACGATGAGGAATGAAATAGCAGAATTTATTTTGTTTGAAAACTTTCGTAATGACTATGCTTCCTTTCGTGTTGAATGTATCATTTTAAATTTAAGTTACTCAATGTTTAAATGATAATTTATAATTGCTAGAAACGAATTTTCTTTCTTAAATTGAACATGATGTATATCATGATATGTTTCTCATAGACGTACAGTAGGAGGTTTAATCATCTCGACGCTGCATAAGCCGTGAGATACTTTACATTTGTAACTCGCATAAAGTGAGCTCATAGTCTCGTAGGTAGAAACGAATGTACAGTATACGTAGAGATATACGTACGTACGTGAAAATTATGTAAACTTCCATTTACTCACAACACGCTCTCTAGATGCGTATGCGCGTGTGAATTATTTTATTACACGGAAATATATATCACGCGATCTGTAACGAAACACGCGACGTTCGTACTGTAGTAACCAAAGAGATGGGATTTCCTTCGACGCGTCTCCGTAGTAAAAGCGAGAAATGAATGATCGCCTCGGGAGAATCTAATATAGATAATTATATTCACTAAGATAAAATGAAAATGTAAGTTACTATAGAACATTTGTTAATTTTCCTGATTATTAATACTTTATATTAGTAAAATGTGTTTACACATATGTCTTTTTAAATGATATTTTTAAAATAAAACTCATCCTAGATCGTTCCATTTTAAGTTCAAAGTTAATTCTATTAAAACACAATTGCCAGATGAATAATATCTAAAACTTATCGTTTTTGTTCGTGTCTCTACCACGATGAAGCCGTTAGAAAGTATTATCGTTACAAGCGTTATACGGGCAACCGACGATATAATCGTAAAAATAACTACGATGCTTTCTTTAATAATGTTCGTGGTTTATGTTCAAACGACTAAAGACAATAAGTAAAGAAATTTTTCAAAGTAAAGAATAACGATCGATCAACAGATATTTTCCTTGGTCGTAAAGAAAATTATTTCCGTATTAAATTTGACATGAGTCCTTTTCTGTAATGTGACCATGGCGACTCGTCAAAAATTGTCTTTTCTCATTTATGAACGTAAAAAAAATATCGGTGACATTTTAACCGTCGGTGAAATTAATCTTGAGAACAATAGAAACTTTCTTTAATTATTTTTTTTTTTTTTTTTTTAACAATGTTAACTTCGTCAACGTCACTTTCGACCATCGGTTGGAGGGTAAAGTCTAATACCATTTCTATGATTATACATTATTTACGGGACACTACTATTATCGAGTCTATCTAATACCTCGGATCGGACATTTACGTAAGTAAAACGGAAGTAACGATCGGCTTGTAAGACTAGTACTACGGTAGTTTATCGAGCGAAATACTATCCTACACTATTTATATCAATTTTACGAGATCGTTCGTAACAAATGGAGACATTTGGTATCACTTGATACAAGTTGTACATTCACTGGTAGAAGTAAGTCGAAACTCGTCTCTCATAAGCTTGGTTGACTCGTCAACGACACTGAGAATCCAACATGAGTGCGCTTAAGTGGCACGTTGGCCGAGATGCAAAGCTAACGCGATAAACCGTACTTTCTCCTAAGAGCATCTGCGAGAAATATTCGCGGACTCGGGGTTTTACCTTTAACTTCACGTTTTAAGAAAAGCTCATTATTTCGATTATATTATCTAGTTCCTTCCGGCAAAAAACGATGATAAAAATTAAATGAAAAAGTCGTACCAGGAAGAATTCAAAGAATAATTTTCTAATTAAATATTACGATTTTGCAATTAAGATAAACATGTGCTATTTTTCTTTTACTTGAAACTTTCGATTAAGCAATGTAAAATTATACATACAAACGTTTTCCTTTACCTGAAATCGTATAGGTGTATTTGCACCGTTAACAATTTTGCAAAAACGAAAATAAGAAACTTATCTTTGATTGAAAGTGAAATTCCGTATTTATTGAAAATAAACAAAATTAAATGGTATACGATATATAATCATAATTATATGAGAAAAATCTTTTTTTTTCTTTCACAATAAATCACTTGTCTCTCACCTTGTAAGAATAAGAAAAAGAAAACGTTCCTTTTATGTTTCCAACTTGCATAATTAAAAAAAAAGAAACAAACATATTTATTTCGAATCAGGTTTACGAATCGAGATAATTGATTAGAAGGTTCGATTTGAGATAATTCAATTTCTCATGAATTCACTTTCGAAAAAGTCATTCACATTAATAAAGAGAACTAAGGTGAAGGTCTTCTCACATCCTACTTTTCTCTATGTTCACACACACACACACACACTCACACGCACGTGCGCATCACAAATGCCATACAAACATATTCGTACACGCACCCACATACGAACGAAAACAATGATAAGCTCGCAATCAGAACAGTTTAGTTCGCATGTCCCACGAACATAAACTGCCTGCATGTGCGAATCGTAGTTTAGGCGTAGGTCGTGCATAAGGTTGGTAGGTAGGTTGGTAGGTGGGTTGGTAGGTAGGTAGGTAGGTAGGTAGGTAAGCGAACGTGTTCGTGCTGCCGTTGTGACTGGGTCAAACGCCTCCTTCATGCATAGTCATATACTCTAATCACGTACGACGTGTGCGTAACATCATGGCAAACCTAAACCGGCTTCTTATCGGACGATTCGATGCACAAAATTGCCATTAATTTTCTTTCCTTCCGGCTAAACACATTCACTTTTCAACGTTCCATCTCGTTCAATTTTTTGAAATATTTCATACTTAATCCTTTTATCTCACTAAAACAATTTCTTAAGAATTTACAAATTTTAAATTATTCTGTTTTTTATGAATATAATTAAAATTGACGATAGTATTTTCAAAAATATGAATTAATTAAGGACCAAAATTACAAATTGGATGATTTATTTCAATGAAAAATTATTGCAAAGATAAGAAACGAAATAAAGATTTATTTTTTATTTTTCTTGTCAAAAACAAAGAAATCGTAAATATGATAAGTATGTTAAAACTCTGGAACGTTTTATAAAATTACTTATGATTTGTTGTTTATAAAATCCTCACACAATTACACTTATCGTTAATCTCATACACTTTCTCTCTCTCCCTATTTGAAATATTACACCGATTAACAAATCATATTTCTTCCTGAAGAAAGTAACGAAGAAAATAAATATTTTTATAATCAAAGATCATAAACACTGTTCGTTAAAATCATATTAACACCAAAGAAGGAAGCACAGTCAAGACGAAAAATTCAAAAATCGAAAAATCATGGGGAATCGAGAAACTTTCTTTCGTGATTCGATTTACATTGAACGAATGAGAAGGTGAAGGCCGCGACGCAGAAATGGAAGAGAAAAAGAAAGAGAAACTAAAAAACGAGACAAAAGAAAGGAAAGAAGGCGGAACGTCGGTCACCTACCTTAGCTTCGAGCATAGCACCGTAACAACCGTAAAAACTAGTATTCGCACTGCACAGTAAACCAAAAAGACTATTCGTATATATACAGATAATATTATAGATTTAACATAATATAAATGTACATATATAGAAATGAAATTTAATTGAAGATACAAATCTCGATATCTTCTTTCGTCGTCTTCCGTTTCAACTTGATCAAAATCAAAATGAAAAAAAAAGGAAAAAATAGAAATAAAAATGAAAAACTAAAATATAAGAAAACGATAAAAAAATAGAAATAAATTAAAAGAAAAGAAAGAGATCCTCGGTCCTTCCTATTTTCTATTTTATTTTTCGCGCTGTTATCGAACGTAGGTAGCGCGTGTTATGCTGCGATGGTTCACGTCACAAGCACCATCTTCTTCTTCTTTCCCTCGATGAAATAATAATAATAAAAATAAAAATAATAATAATAATAATAGTAATAATAAAAAAAAAACTCGAAGACGAAGAAAAAATAATACAAGGAGACACCACTACGCGATTGTAGGAGGAACGAAAAAATGTTCAGACCCGTAGGAGACCTCTGCTTATATAGACTCCCGTAGAGGGGTACCACAAACTCGTGAAGAGCAATTGCCGCTGTTGGTGAAGTCGTCGACGAGGAGCGTGCACGAGGAGCGACGGGTCGGTTGAATCGAAGAAAGGAGTCGAAGTAGTGGTAACCCCAGGACCAACGAGAGAAGCCTAACAAGAAGAACGAGTGAAAGAAGGAAAGAGAAAGAAAGAGTCGAAAGGGGGAGATAGAGAGAGAGGGAGAGAGAAAGAAGTCAAACCCAACTGGAGAGGGAAACCCTCCTCGTCGTATACATCGCTTAAAAATTCTCTTTGTAGAGAGAAAGTAGGCTATAAGCCCTGTCTTCTCCTCGAACTAACCGAAGACGTCGAAGATGAGCCCGCCGGTTATCGGCATCAACTATACTACTCTTCGTTTCACTATTGCTATATGTTCGAATATAAGGAACAACGAAACTAGAAATCAAATGATATACATATATTTTATCTTCGAATACGTGAGTTATTTTTCGTTTCTCTTATGTGATGAAATTTTAAAAGATTGTCTATAAGAAAGCTCTTCTTTTTCCTTTGATAGTAATAATTGTAAATAAGATGATAATGGGAGGGGAAAATAAGATAAAAGTGATATGTACGAATAGTAGTGGTTTTCATTTTTATTTTCGTCGAAGGATACGAAATTCTATTATCTTCAAAGTATCTCTTGGAGATTACGTGACAGCACATGAAACTGATCATTAGATTGAATATTCCTTATTACTATGACTCTAATTTTGTTGAGAAACTTTATGATGCGTACCAGAAAAGATATGAGAAACATAAGCAGAAATAGAATGAGAGGGAATGGGAGAAATGGAAAGAGAGAAAGGGCGAGTAAATAATTTGTAATTGCTCCTATCACATAAAATACTACTAGCTGGCCAATCGTTTGATATTTTCATAAACACTCTGTCAAGTATCCCATCCAATTTGCATCCAATTA